TAACATTCATTTCATTCTATAACTAAAAACATGTTTATTGTACTATAATACTTAAACCTAAAATTAACTCTATTTATTATATTCCATTTTTTATAGGCTCTTGGCCGAAACGAACCCGGCTTTCCGGATTGGATTTTACTCAAGGATGCTGGTGTACAAAAATTTTGTCTTTATAATAAACTATTACTAATATAGAAATTGTATCCAATTTAAAGTTATGTTCAATAAAAGTTAAAAAAAAAAATTGTAAAAAAACAAGAGCATTAAAAATTTAACAATAAATAAAAATATAGATTTAGATTTACACGGAAATCATGCCTTTTATAAAAAAAAAAAAAAAAGGTTTGCACCATTAGGGCACTGCTGGTTTGCCCTTTTTATTTGTAGACTCGCTGTCAGTGGAAACTGTGCTCAACAAAAGACCTAAAGGAGATCCCTGAAATCTTACTCTATGCCTGTCTCAAACACTAAACAGCCTAACCACTATAAAGGACAATAACTCTACAGCCCTGTGCTATTTATTAATCATTGACAAAAAGGATGATTTCTGTTTACACAACACAATTAGATATCTAAATTATCTTAAAATTAATGACACTAAAAACATAGAACAGATAATCTTTTAACCACTTCTAGGAGGATCTTTGTTTTTTAAGTTGTGATGTCGCTCTTTGGCAAACAAAATAGATTATATATTGTGGGCCAGAATACTCTTAATGTACTATTGATTCTGATGCCCGTCTGGCTCCACTCGAGGAGTAAGAATTCGCAGGGAATTTTCTTAAAACAATTCCTCGTCGCTGGACAACAAATAAATATATTGGTTGGAGGTTACCTGGGGTCCGGAATACATCTTCCTCTGCAGTGGAATAATAATAATCCGTGTCTATGCAGAGTTTGCAAACAATGGTCAGATTTTTTCTTCTCAATATGTAGTTAAAGTTGCGCTGCGTATACCCCCTTACGCCATACGCCCAATCAAAATTGCCACACCTACGCGAAGCTCCACGCAATTTTTTTTTTCCTCCATGGGCGAATCTGCGGGTATGGAGCGCCCGCAACAGATATTTACTGGGTACAATGATAATATATTATATTTTGAGAATGCAATAAATGCATGTCTTCAGCAATTTTTGTGTTAGGCATCTATAAATTGTCTCACAGTAAACTCGTCTAAAACAAAAGCAATGATGTTTGGCATGTTTAAAAACGTTGTGTTAGTTACATTGTTTATAACTCAAGAACTCTACGCCGATTTTGACGATTCAAAGGACTTATAAATCGTATGTGGTCAGAATAGGAAAATATGAAAACTAATTGTGAGATTCCGCCAAAACAAATATATTAAGTAATATTTACAATTCCCCAATTTTGGTATCGAGCTTTAATGTTTAAATAAATTGTTGTTTTTTAAGACATATGGTTTTTTGATTTAGATAGATCAAAACTTCTAATTTCTTAAAATATGTGTATGTTATAATACTAATAATGCGATCGTTAACATCGACAAAAATAATGGTAATGATAGCATTATTAGCATTCCCGTCAGATATTTGAAGTTTTGTCTTATTTTCTTTAGAGACAAAGCTGTTGGATATGAAATCTCATTTTCTTATTTGTCAAAAAAGTGTATTATTTTTTCGACAATGTTTCTTTTTTGGCCGACAACTTGAAGTTTGGATGTGAACCTATGTAAGGTTAAACAACAACTTATTCAAATGTTAAATTAAAAAATGTGAGGATATAACAAATCCGATTACAACATTTCAGACCAACAGGCCAAACTTTTCAACTTAACTATCAAAAACTATATATAGAATATATAGCAAACATATACATATCTATAACGGCAATCTGAAAACAACTTAACAATTTGTTTAAAAATGAAATATATCTATAACTGAGCGGAAATCACTAAACTTCGATGCCAAATCTAAAATTTTTCGTGTTATAAACTGACTTCAATATAAAAATCAAAAGGTCAGTTGGACGTGAACAAAATGATATTGTAATTAGAATCCTTAAAGAAGGGACAAATAAGATAATGTAAAAACGTTGGAGCAATAACAAAATACGATCTTCTATTGAAAAAAAAAACATTTGGTGAAATAAGTTCTACCAAAATATAAACTGTTATGTTCTTGGGCCTGCATTGGGTACCAGTTAATACTTTTTATTGACATAAACTTAGTGGCAAATGTTTTTACCAATCTTATATTGATGCAATATTGATAAGGCAAAACAACGTTTGCCGGGTCAGCTAGTTTTTTATAAAATATTTTAATATTTTGTTAGTGTATCAGTTGTGCAATAAGCTAAATCTCCTGCAATATGAACTATTGTTTGGCGCAATTTTATTTTCATCCCGTAATGTAAATAATATATTTGTATAAAAATTGGCATAATTTTTTTACTTATTGAAAAAAGTAACATGCGAGTGATGAGTGTTCGATAGAGATAGAAAACAAATTATGCTTTATTTGGGTTTGTCATCTCAAAATCCACACATAACACTATTATCCGAAAAAATCCTTATATTAGAGCCTGTATTGAAAAATATATTATATTTTCGTACATTATTTATCTGCACTTATCACGGGATCACGTTGCTATATATGTAGATTTATATATATGTAATTCTTAGTAAGACATTACCCACCACGCAAAAGTGAGACAATAGAAAGAACAATTACCGGTATCATGCCAACTTCAACTAAAAATATGTTATCCGGATGGCAAAGAATAATTCCTATATAATTTTCTCTTTTTACAATTTGATTTTTCACCTATGTGGTCGACGTTTTTGTGGAATTCGTGATATGTCTTTTATATGTACAATACAAAATATAGTGTAGCGTATTTTTAGGTGTTAAAATTGTTTACACTTAACAAAATCGGAGAACAATTTGAAAATAAAAAAATATTTCTGTAGAACATTGAAGCCTAATTTAAGTCCCAATTTAGATTAGACGAGTTTATTTGCGGCAAGTCTTTGTTTGTAGGAGAGAGGGGCAAGGGGAATAGGAAAAAAATTGCTCGTACCGACAATTTTCTGGCAATTCGTTTTGTGTATTTCGTATTTGTTGACATTTTATATATATTTAAATGTGAAAAAACAACAAATAAAAAAATATTTTGGAAACCGAATTGCCTTGTATAGGCGCATGAAGCAAGTTCAAAAGAGGACGATAAAAAGTGCCGCAAGTAAACTCGCCTAATATAAATCAGGACTAACATTCGACTATAAGGGATTTTTTGTATGGATAGTGCTGTTGATGGCGCAAAGAATGTGAATGGAAAATGCTGATGGTGGACACGAGATGAGATTAAACTAATTTTCTATATACATATGTTGAGAACGACTGGGCCGATATAACTCAAATTGTCTTTCGATTGTTTGTAATTGTAGTGAGAAGGTGGGGAAATAAAAAAATCCTAATGGAAAACTCATAAAAATTTAAATGTTATCTTCTGATTTGATTTTGGTGAGAATTATGTATTTTAGTTTATGTGAATGCGTTATATTTGGGGGCGACACAAACAAATTTAATTCAAGGAACATTTCGGTGAAAATGAGATTTTACCATTAGGGTAAAAATATCCGACGGATTAGAAAACACTTTCTCAAATATGGCGAGACCATTGCATTACTGATAAAACCAGTAATTCAAAGCATTCGAATTTTGAAATTCATAAATTTCCATTAATCCAGTACAATGTAAGTGGTTTCCAGGTGGAAAATTGCTCCAGCCAAATTTTCTTTAACCTGCTTCGGAATGTCCGATTTGCTCTAAATATGCGCCGTTTTGTTGTATGATTTGTTGTCATTTTAAAAGTATCTTTATAATGCCTCTCTCATAGAAGTCATGCTCTCTATTTGCAAAATAACTCTAGTAGCCAATTTTCACAACCCTTCCTAGATACTAATTTTTTATCATTGAAGAAATTTTGCAATGCAAGAAAAATATGATAATTGCTTGGTGTCAAGTCCGGACTGTATGGCGGATGCATTAAAACTTCACAACCAAGCTCCAGAAGTTTCTGGCGAGTCACTGTAGATGTGTGTGGCCTAGCGTTGTCCTGGTGGAACATGACACCTCTCCTGTTGGCAAATCCTGGCCGTTTCTGGTCAATTGTAAATGGATAAAACAGTTTTATGGTCGATTTTTAGCTCCTGGGCGATGTTACAACTACTAACATGCCGGTCGACTTCGATCATTTCTGCGATTTTTCGAGAGTAAAATCGGGCCCCCTGGGCCGCCCCCCTGCGTACGTCCCTGGAGCTATGTCTAAATCTGAACCGATTTTCACGAAACTTAGCACACATCACCCTATACCCAATTCAGTACGCTATGCAAACTTTCATGCAAATCAAAAGAAATATAGGGGCTTTATTGCACATTTACACAAAATCGGGCGAAAATATGTGTGGGAGCTATGTCTAAATCTGAACCGATTTTAACAAAACACACGTCACTCCGTATTCAATTTGGCACGCTGTACAAATTTTAGTCTCAATCGGATAATTATTAGTCACTTTGTTGTACTACAATTGTGTTGTAGTTACGTCCTTTTGTTTCAGAAAATTGCAAGTCAAAAGGACGTAACTGAAATAAAACTTTTAAAAACATTGCTCCATTTTTATAGATTTTATAACGTTTTTTGCTTCTCCTGTAAAATTAGTAAAAGTGTAGTAACGTCCATAATCATATATATATATATTATTGCAGTTCCCGTCTGCATCAAACTATCTCCATAAAAAATGCACATTTGTTAATTTATTTATCAGTGTTTTTTCATTTTATTCGTGTTCTCCTTAGAAGAAATAGTTCAGTACTGTTCACTTGGTTCTTGTCATAGACAAAAACATGGAATTCTTTTTTTTATGAAAATACATGCCTCGTAATACAAAAATGAATGATTTAATAAGAAACAGTGTAAAAAAGGACCAAACATCAGCATGCTAATCTCTACGTATTAAAAATTAATCTATATGTATATTGACACGTCGTCTAATTAGTTTGCGTGCTGGTGGAGAAAAGTGCCAAGGCACCACTAGCCAAACCAATGGAGAAGAAGTAATTTACCAAGGGAGCAGAGTTTTTCAACAAGAAGAAGCTAATGAAAATGGTGATGGCCAAGAATAAAGCATTGTTGTAAAATATAGAGTAGGTGGTAGCTTCGTAGTCGGCTACTTCGTTCTTTTTCCACAAGATGCGTTCCTCCTTTTCTTTGCGAGTGACTTTCTTATCATCTCCCATTTGGCGGTTGATTTCACGAGTAACTGCGGCTTCCCGGCGTACAGCAATCTTGTGCTTCAATTGGAATTTAATGTTCTTGTAGGCCATTGCCATTAGATATGTGCTGGCGCCAGTCATTAGAACGAAGAAAATAGCACTGGACAACAGGTCCATATTGTGGACACGCCAAAAGAGCCCTATGGAAAATAAACAATGTAAATACTGCCACACCAGTCAGTCGACGTGTCATATACTTACAGATGGGGATGGCAGAGATGATGAAGGCATTGCCGTAGAAAAGGGCCGACGACTTTGTGCTCACATTACGGCTGAAATCTTGGAGTAGCAATTCTTCTTCCTTGGTGAATCCAGAGGATTGGACTTTCTGTTGCTTCTTATCGGATGAACCCATTTTATTTATAAATTAAGTAAAAAACAAACTTTTAAAACTCAACGACGGTAATCGACCAGCCCGAAGTGAAAGCGAGCGTGTTATGCAGTTGATAGTTGACAATAAACGAATGAAAATACGAAAGCAAACACTTGTCAAAAAACTGATGTGACGTGTAAGCAGTATTGCCATGTATACTTCAGAGACGAAAGTGACACCTAGTGGTAAAATTTATCTGTCAATACGACATTTGTGACATTCAAGGCGATTCTTAAAGAGCGACGTAAACTAGTAGTAGCGAGGTATATCATGCTGTCATATGTTTCCAATTTTGCATAATTATACTTTTGGCAGCATTCACAGCCTGTTTCTCTAATAGCGCATTTACATACTCATATTACATGATGTGGATTTACGAAATCCTGAAAAAAATTAAGGCTATTACACTGGCATTGAGATCATTTCAAATGACTGTCAGCTGGTATTTGTTTACGTAAACACATTCACTCTTGTTCACAAATAGAAAAATAATTATACATACCATGGAATATTTATTCAAGGCAGGGTAGCTTTTGTCAGCAAGGAGAAAATACACCTCTACCTTGTGGGCTATAATGTCAGAATAAATGAAAACAATGCAACAAGTCGTTCTGTTCATTTGACATATTTTAACATTTTACCAAAAACGCGAAAAATGAATGGAATATCATGTTTTCTTTTCAAAATCGAGTTGAGGATAAGATAAACATATGGATTCATTCACATATCATACATTTCTTATAAATGTTGTGAAATCAAACTTCAAACAAATCGATTTTCGAATATATTTTGTTATATTTTTCAAAACATTAAACGGCATACATATTAGAACATTTTCATTTAAGTGAAACCGAGATACGTACTTGAGGAAATAAACAAAGTTAATAATATCAAATTCCAATAAAAATTTTAGTCAAAAACTTATTTTTTATTTTAAAATTCGTGGCAACATTTTTTTTTTATTTGTAAACAATTAGAACAATGTGCAGCTTTAGTAAATATAAATTTTAAATTTATTGAAAATACCATCATAAAACCATGGCATAATTATACAAGGTAGTCTCATGCAGTCATATGTTTCCAATTTTTTCATAAATTTCCCTTTGACAGTATTCAGCTTTCAAAATTTAAATGAAAATATCTTCCTTCGAAATGTATGCATATCATATGTTCAGTGGCAAAAATTGCTAAATAATTAATATTTATAAATATTTTGATGTTCTCTGCTTTTAAAACTTATAAATATAAGATGTAACAACTATGGTTAAATCTTGAGAGTAATGCATGGTACAATTATAAAAGGTAACAGCAAATCCCAGCTGATTTGATTCCAACGTAATACTAGTGTCAATATGAATTTGACAAATTATGTTTTTAAAAATCACCCAACAGGAAAATTGGGAACGCATACAATTTGAAATTGTTCTTTATTAAATGAGCTCCCGTTTTCAATTTACTCAATCTGCCTGCTGGGAAAGTTTCAGGAAGCAAATCTTTCTTCAAGGAATAACTCGCTATTCCCAGCATTTTCATATGTGTTATACATATATGTGGCAATTGCACAATTAAAGGAAAGATGTGGACGCGATAGAAATATAAATTTGAAAGATTTTCATTCATGTTTTTCAATTTTTATTTTGAGGATTCGAAAATATTTCATTTTCAAAATAAAAATAATTTGATGATAATTTGTTTGTTTGTTTACATTTTTCTGTCAAATGAGTTGACACTAGTAGAACTTACAACAACAAATTTCCATGTGGTTGTTGTATCGTTTTTTGTACAACAACACTTGCTGTTACCTTCTATTATTATACCATGAGAGTAATGTTAAGCATTAGAAAATATATTTTGTTTAATTTATTGGAAATATGCCAATCGACATACATAAAATTTTATGGAATTTATTTTTCATATTATTTAAAGTTGATGATTTCATGGTACAATAATACAAGGTAGGGCAGCTTGAGTTGAATAACAAAAAATCAAATATGTAGCTCGTGGGGTCTTCTGCCAAATATAAAATAAATATACGCAAAAAGTGGTTGTGTTTATTTGATATTTTTTCAACACAAAATTAAAAACGCGACAAATTAATGAAAGGTTATGATTTCATTCCAAAATCCATCCATAACAAGAAATATTTGTTTCATCCATAACAAAGTAATTACTTCCAGACGGACGCATTAAAAACATAATTTTCATTTCAATTAAATTTGAATATATTTCAATTTATTTTGAACAAGAAATATTTGTTTCATCCATAACAAAGTAATTACTTCCAGACGGACGCATTAAAAACATAATTTTCATTTCAATTAAATTTGAATATATTTCAATTTATTTTGAATTTATTTGACATAGTATTCAAAACAATATACACACATACACAAAATATGTATTTTGATTTGATGGAACAAGCCATGGCACAATGAATAGGTAGTCCATTTAGTGCAGCTGATGTCTCGATTAACTGTCAATGTGGATAATTTCTACATGAATTAGATGTGCAGTGTTGCCAACCATTTGAAATATTATAAGGAAATTTTTGACAGATAATCGAGACAAAACCTAAAACCTTAGTTTTGATACATCACCTTATAATTGCATCATGGAACAAGCCACCTTGAGAAAAAATTGTAATCAGTTGGTAGCTGTGCACTACCTTGTAATAATAATACCCATGGTACAATTATAAAAGGTAACAGCAAATCCCAGCTGATTTGATTCCAACGTAATACTAGTGTCAATATGAATTTGACAAATTATGTTTTTAAAAATCACCCAACAGGAAAATTGGGAGCGCATACAATTTGAAATTATTCTTTATTAAATGTGCTCCCGTATTCAATTTACTCAATATGCCTGCTGGGAAAGTTTGAGGAAGCAAATCTTTCTTCAAGGAATAACTCGCTATTCCCAGCATTTTCATATGTGTTACACATATAAGTGCAAATAGCTCAATTATAGGAAAAATGTGGAAGCGATAGAAATATAAATTTGATAGATTTTCATTCATGTTTTTCAATTTTTATTTTGAGGATTCCAAAAATTTCATTTTCAAAATAAAAATAATTTGATGATAATTTGTTTGTTTGTTTACATTTTTCTGTCAAATGAGTTGACACTAGTAGAACTTACAACAACAAATTTCCATGTTGTTGTTGTATCGTTTTTTGTACAACAACACTTGCTGTTACCTTCTATTATTATACCATGAATAATACCATGGATGAGTTCCAAATTAAAAAGGGTTGCCATCATAAAATTCCCAAATGATACTACCTTCTGTAATTATGCCACGACAATGATATATATTTGAGATATTTTTGAAGTAGTTGATATGATCAAATTGACACTTTATTTCCCAGAGTCGTATCTATTCTGCTTAAACTTACCATGTATTATTGATATCTTTAATTACATATGACGTTGAAGATATATCTGGTACTAGTTAATTGTGAATAAATAAAATTCTACGACTTGTTAATATTCGCACACTTCGAACTATGTTACGGAATTTCATCTTAGTATTTTGTAAATGCACGACTTATGGTATTTTTTATACATTAGTACAAAATGGGATTCCACAGATGCTTCACACAATGTGCAAATTGCCCTTCCTCACTTTATACGCTTATGCTACTTTATTGTATCTTCGTCAATATTTTAAATTTTTTACTTCTCATTTAATATGAAGTAGAATGTTAGAATTTTTTTTGCTCACGTTATCAAAAATCCAATGTTCATTGTCTGGGCCAAGTTACATTTTATAAATATATTTTTTATTTTCTCATTTAATATGAATTACAATACTATAATTTTTTAAATTTTAGACTACTCGACTACTACTCGATTTCAAATGTACAGTGGATTCTATTTGACATATAAGCTATGGAATTGACATTTGATCGAGTGGATTTCGCAAATCTAAGTCTTGATTTAGATTAGGCGAATTTACTTGCGGCAATTCTTATCGTTCTCTTTTGAACTTGCTTCATGCGTCTATACAAGGCAATTCGGTTTAAAAATTTTTTTTATTTGTTTCAAATAGTTTTTTTTCAGATTTAAATAAATATAAAATGTCAAAAAATACGATATACACATAACGAATTGCCAGAGCAATTTTTTTCCATTTCTATTCCCCTTGCCCCTCTCTCCTACAAACAAAGACTTGCCGCAAATAAACTCGCCTAATCTTCTTCAGCAATTTATTACAAAAACAACTGTTAGTCTGCTTTTCCACTGGCAAATTTTTATTTGGCAAATACTGAGTTTGTAGGCCGTACACGCAAATTCTGCTTTGCTCTGTTCGTTGAAAACAAATTTTGTTAACATTTCCTATTGAACCTATTCGCTTTACTGACACATAGCCGGCTTTTGTTTACAAACCTGTTGCTTTAATTTGTGCAAGTGAAATTTAATTTTTAATTTTTGCAATTTATATAATAAAATATATAAAAAATAAATAAAATATTAAAAAAAAATCTTTAAAATGCAAACACTTTTGACTTTTATTTTCTTTCTTTTGTATTTTGATTCGCAAATTTGGCAAAGAAAAATTTGCTAATGGAAAAGCAAGCGAAAATTTCAAAAGAGAAAACAAAAAATTTGCCAAATAAAAATCTGTCTGTGGAAAAGCAGACTTATAGTACAATGATATGTCAAAAATATATTGCGATAATAAACCGGTTTATAAGATTTTTTTTTACACAAATTCATTCAGAAAATATTAAAAAATGTATTGTCCAAAAAAAAAATCGAAGATTTTCATTCATAATTCTGTTTTTAAAATTTTTAGTATTAAATTTAATTACAAAAATATTTTTGACATTTATTTGTACCAACAGCTGTGCTGATGCACTTACTAGGGTCCTTCACATAACAGATATTGTCGAACGATTTTTGATCTTCGGTTGTTGCCAGTGTTGCCGTTCAAAAATTTTTTCCGCCCCAAAATTTCCCATAAAAAGTGCCCAAAATCAACAATTTATGCCCATGGTACAATTATAAAAGGTAACAGCAAGTCCCAGCTGATTTGATTCCAACGTAATACTAGTGTCAATATGAATTTGACAAATTATGTTTTTAAAAATCACCCAACAGGAAAATTGGGAACGCATACAATTTGTAATTGTTCTGTATTAAATGTGCTCCCGTATTCAATTTACTCAATCTGCCTGCTGGGAAAGTTTGAGGAAGCAAATCTTTCTTCAAGGAACAACTCGCTATTCCCTGCATTTGTATATGTGTTACACATATATATGGCAATGGCTCAGTTGGAAGAAAGATGTGGAAGCGATAGAAATATAAATTTGATAGATTTTCATTCATGTTTTTCAATTTTTATTTTGAGGATTCGAAAATATTTCATTTTCAAAATAAAAATAATTAGATGATAATTTGTTTGTTTGTTTACATTTTTCTGTCAAATGAGTTGACACTAGTAGAACTTGCAACAACAAATTTCCATGTGGTTGTTGTATCGTTTTTTTGTACAACAACACTTGCTGCTACCTTCTATTATTATACCATGTTTATGCCCTAATTCAGACAATTCTGGATGGCTGTATAGGGCGTATAGATTTGATCCAAACTTTACAAATCCTATGTTTTTTCCAAACATAAATAAAATCCACTCATTTTGGTACCTCCTCCACAACAATTTTGGTGAACATACATTTTTAAGCTTTGTAAAACATGCTATTTTAAACAAGCTTGTATAATATTGGAATATGGTCCACTACGGTCCACACTTCTTTACATATTTTGAAAACTGAAGTGGGCGGAATATGTTTTTATCCAAACTTAGTCCATCGTAATACTGTCCAAACTTAGTCCCACACAAACTGTCAAAATTTAATAAAAAAATCCACCTCTATTAAAAATTATCCACCTCGAGAGTGATTCCGTAGACCTCCCCAAACCATAGAATGAGTGTATATCTCTTCGGAAACACAAACTGGCATTTTTTACTGGTTTACCCAAAATAGAACAAGTGATCGGGGCAGAATAGTCTGATGGGCCATGTGGTTCCCTACACAAATAACACAGGATTAAAATTTTCAGTGTGCCTCAAATAATAATGACAATGTATAATAAAGGCTTGCTTATTCGTTTATTTTATACAAATCCGAGTATATACATCATAATTTGTAGTATATATCTTTGATATAGTGTCACCTTCCAGGTTCTTCGTTTTGCGGAGAATTTTTCATACAAAAGTCTTGGACAATTGGACCCGCCAAATATTGACCGATATTCATGAGAACACCTATGCTTAATTCCAAAGCAGATTGTGATCTCTCTCTCTAGAAAGAAAAAAAATCGATATGATAGAAAAAAATGACCAAAATTCACCCAAGTAATAAATTTTAATTTTTTTATGCCCGCTTTCGGCAACTCTGGTTGTTGCCTATTTTTTGATTGCCGAAACTTTCCTATTGTATAACACTTCCTAGTGTATAACACTTCACTTCAACATATTATTATTCTCCTTTAGCTGGTCAAAGTCCATTGGAATTGCATTTTGTAAAAGATGATGCTGACAACTGTAAGGAATTCACTAACGCGATGTGCCTTAACAAGGAGCAATTTTTACCGGTGCATGTCTACCGGCAAATTAACCACTGTGGATGTTAATGATAAAAGTGGTGTTGCTGTTTTGACCATGAACCGTCCGCCCGTAAATGGTTTGAATCTGGAACTGCTGCGGGACATTCATAATGCCATAGATGAAATAGAGAGTAACAAATGCCGCGGCTTAATTTTGACATCAGTAATGTGTTTGTTCATAACGTATCGTAGACAATTAACGATTTGTTTTGTAAATATTTTGTAGGCTTCCAACTCAGTGTTTTCTGCCGGCTTAGATATTATGGAAATGTACAAACCCAATCAAGAGAGGCTTAAGGAATTTTGGATTTCATTGCAGAATACATGGCTCGCCTTGTATGGATCTAGTGTTCCAACAGCAGCGGCAATAAATGTAGGGAGTGATTTCGAATTTGTAGTAAAAAATACATACCTGTTTTATTGTAGGGTCACTCACCTGCCGGCGGTTGTCTTCTTGCAAGCAGTTGTGAATATCGCGTAATGCTGCCCAATTTTACGATTGGTTTGAATGAGACCAAATTGGGCATTGTTGCGCCCAAATGGTTTATGGCAACTTTTTGTAACGTCCTACCACGACATGTAGCAGAAATGGCCCTTACACAAGGTAAAATGTTTAGCAGTGATGAAGCTCTTAAAGTCGGTTTAGTTGATGAACTGGCACAAACAAAGGAAGAGGCCTTAGAAAAATGTGAAAAATTCTTTGCCACGTTTGCCAAAACAAATCCCTTCGCGCGGGCTATGACCAAACAGCAATTTAGGTCGAAGGACCTACAACAATTGGAAGACGAAAGATCACAAGACCTCGAGGCATTTTTGTTTTTTGTTAATCAACCCAGTGTCCAAAAGGGATTGGGCATTTACTTAGAGGGTTTAAAAGCTAAATCAAAGTAATTAGAGACGGTCGGAAAATTTGTTGAGTTTTTTTATTTGTGTTGCATTTAGAATGTATGTATATTCGAAATAAATATAAGAAGAATTTACAATTAATTTTCAATGTTTTGAATCTCATCTCGAACTTCTTGCTGAAGATTTTGTAAATTTTCGGTTACAAGGTCCAAAAATGTGTTGATTTCCAAAATTTTTGCTCGATTCCTTTCCAGCTCATCTCTGAAAATATATTTATAACTTAATATAATATTGTGCAGTATTCGAAGTGCAAAAAATGTTCTAGTCTATATTTTCCGAGTATTTTAATTATGCAAATGCAGTTCGTGGAATTTCATTTGAAAACTATTCTTCAGGCGGATATAGGGTAAGTGCACAAATAGTCGGTACTTTAAGGATTTTCGCATTTTAAACGTTTCACCACCTTGAGAGCATTTTTTTCACTATATTGTGTTTAGGTACATATTTTTCCGAATTTTGTTTACTCCCCGATGAAATAAAAATTTATTTAATTTGTATTAAAGTATATTAAATTTATATTTAGGTAAAATAGTGCCTTTGTGCCAATAGTCGGCAGTTTTTTCCAATTCCCGGCATCTCATGTTCCAATAGTCGGCATGTGGTATTTTAGTTAAACAAAAGTTATCTACATTTTCTGCTATTTTCATCAATAAATTTTTATTATCAGATGATTAGATCAGCGTTGTATTAAAAAAATTATATAAAATAATATATATTAAAATATTACAATTATAAAACATAGTGCCGACTTCAGGAACCTTTTATCCAATTTTCGGCATGGTTAAATAAGGCATTTCAGAGGTTAAAACAATTAAGATTGAAACTAAGTCTTCCATTATGTAAAACCACTTAAAACTGATTTTTTATAAATTAATCGCCAAAATGATCGAAAAGGTGCTTATTATTCACCCATATGGCGACTATAGGAAAACCTTACAAATTTGTGGTCCTAAGGGTGGCATCGATAAAAATATCATAATTTTAAATTCTAAAGTATTCCCCTCTATGTTCTTTACAATTACGAAGAAAATTCTTGTAAAAAATATATAATTTTAATATAGTTGCAAGCCTTTTGAAATCGACATGCCCACAATTTTTTTCTTAAGAAACATAAATTATCAATGTGGTTGGCAAACCTCATTGACAAAATGCCAAATTTTAACTAACTAAATGTACTTAGCTCGATGAAATTTTACACAGAGATAGGTTGCAGTGTTATTGAAGATTATTTAAGATATTTTTCATATTTAGTTATAGGATTTTTTGTTATTTGAAGTTATATAAAACAGATGCCGATTATTGGTACATGCCGGAATTAGGTGCGTTTACCCGCTTGTATCAACAAATATCCCGACATTATTGAAATATATTGGTTTATTACTGTAAGCCAATTCTGTAACTTTTAACAACTATCGATACTGTTTAATTTTTTTGTTATTGCAAAAAAAAAAAAAAACAACGAACAAAAAATAAAATTGTTGGAAAATAAAGTTTTTAAATAGTTACAGAATAGACCTACTGCTTTATGTAGCAGTTGGAAGAAAACTAATAAGAAATGACGTATTAAAGTGTCATCTAAGGCTCAAACTCAATCAACGGCAGAAATTCTGGCTTTGTAATATTGCTGGCTTAATTAAAATATTCTCCGAACTTTCAAGGCCCATATCTTAGTAGATGTCTTGTTTATGAACGAGTCTGGCATAAATTGGAAAGTTCTAATACAAGATATACGATATGATATAAATTATTTGTTCCATTGTTGTGTTATGTTAATGCGTGGCCAAATTTTACATAAAAAATTAACTGTGGTAAAAATTTTTTGATCATCCCTCGATTTGTTTGAAGTATTCTTGAAATTTTTTAATTCAGAACACTTAGATATACTGCACTTAAGAGATTTAGTATAAAAATAGAAAATTATTGCATGTAATTTTTCCATAAATAACGGTTTTTATAAAAAACATCGACTTTGAAGTGACCATATAAATAAAACATTGTGCCATTTTTTACTTTACTCATTTTTATTTAAAAAAAAAAACACCTTAAATTTCTTAAATAAAGTAAACTAAGCACCGATTAAATCATGTACAGATAAAAAAATCTAAAATCTGTAAAATCTATCAAAAATTTGTACCGTACATCTAACATTCAGAAAATAGTCCTTATTATCGAAAAATTGGTCCGAATGTACCAGGAATTGCTAGAATGAGTAGAAAATAAAATAAAAACTCAAAAGGAACGATTCGATGTTGAAAACCTTTATTGAATAATATATTGGCATTTATTATATCAAATTGATTGTTCGAGTAGTACAGAATATATTTGATCAAAAATTATATCAGTCACAGCATAATGAACATACACGCCTTTGTTGACCAGTAACAGTTTCTGGCGCACAACAGCATTTTGATCATTTGGCGAGTAGATACTATTCCGACAAATATAAACAACATTACTCGTACACATATATATATATATATATATATATAGTACGGTGTAATGAGGCTTGTGTTTCGTCTAAATCCAATATATAATAAAAACTATTACTTACCTATTCAACTTACTAATCATGTTGTCAATGAATTGTTTGCTTCTTTGAATTAGACGATCTTCCCGCTCATCAATTTTTTGGGTGTGCACATCTTTCATTCCAGCGACTAAATTACCAATCGCTTCCCTATCTTCGATACATATTCTAAGTGGCTCTGGAATACTATCAATATCATGCATTGCCAATTTTGTTGATATAAAGCGTGATACAATTTCATTTAAATTTTCGGAAAAATGCACTGCAACATCTCGCAATTGACCAAAATAAGTTTGCGCTTGCTCTACGAATTTTGCTATCGTTTCTTGCATTTTTCGTTGAAAATGTATGGTAGTTTCCTGAAAATGTTGTGTTTAAAAATTAAAAACTATAATAAACAAAAGGAAATGTTTTAAAATAAAAAATAAGCAATGTTGTTAAAAAGTTAAGTAATATGACCAGTGATGAGCTCTTAATTTTTTGCTTGGAGTGTGAATTAACATATATGAATCCTTTGTTTATGCATCCAATTAGTGTTATATCGTATTTGATATATTAAACGTAAGTAATATTATATTTTTTGTTAAATAATAACAAAATAAATTATGTAAATTTTAATCTATAAACTTACTTCAGTAGCCTCGTGCAGGTGTAATTCTTGACTCATCAGTTGTTGCCACACACTGTTGACGGCGTCGTCGAATTGCATGGTTAAGCGGTCCAATCTATCTTTCTGCATGATAACCTCCTCACTTTCGTCATCATCGCCACGCGCCTGTCGTGCTTCAATGTATTTATGGCATGAAATTGCATCTTCAAATAAATTGTCTTTATACAGTAAAAATTCTTCAAGTATTTTATGGCCCGTTTGTTGGACTTCGAGATGGCCTTGTTTGATACTTGACTGAAATTGTTCTAATTCCCGTTGTCGCTCCTCATACTTTTCTAATCCAAGCTTGTAGATTTGCTGAGTTAACTCAAACATATCGTTGTCATATTCTTCTGCCAAATCTATAGCAGCTTCGCCGGCCATCATTAAGATTCGTCCGTCTTCATCGCCATTCCATAACGATTGGTATAATTGGTGCCCGTTTAAATGTTCGACGAAGCTCAGTGATAATCGCTTGGCATCTTCTTCTTCTTTTAGTTTTTGTGAACGGGCTTGCAATTCCATTTCTTCATTGGTTTCTATTTCACGGAGTTCGCGACTACAAATTGTACCAAATATTAAATCCATTTGTACAATTTCATATATTATTGACACTCGATTATCAACGTTTTACGTCCACGTTTAAAGATTATTACAGTTTTAATATTACCCCTTTACAATATATTATGAAATGATTGTAAAGGGGTAGCGGATAATTGGGGTGTAACTATTATATCATCTTTACTTACTAAAAACGTTCCCTTGCACTTTCTCTTTGCTCCTCCTTAATGATCATATATTCATAATACTTAAGATTTGGTAGTACAGCAGCTACATAGTCGCTCAAAGAGAAGTCTGATTCTTGGGAAACGGGATTACCTTCCAGATTTAGAACCTTTAAATTAGGTAAGAAGCGAAAGCGTTCTATCTAAAATGAAACAAGCAATTATGGCCCAAATAAGGGGTTCAAGAACGTGTTTTGGTTTATATCTCAAATTCCTATTTTTTGTCCTCAAAAATTCTCTCAACCTTAAGTCTATACCAAGAAAAATCCCATTCGAGGTTCCATAACATGTAACAAATAGATAGAAAATCTAGTCATATTTTCCCTAAGGTTAAATATATTATTTGTATAAGATTTAGAAACTTTGTATAGTTCGCATATAACGGTATCTCCTAATAGGTTAAAACTTTCTCACAGGTAGGCTCAATAACTTCCCCTAATATAACATTATCGTCCGATTTGTATTATTTTGAAGGACCTATCAACAATTGGATGACATTTGAAGCATTTAAATACTTTTTAAAAGACCGGTTCACAGGTATTTTCCATTTATAGTATAAACCAATATAGAAATCTGTAAGGAAAGTTCAAAAGTCGGACGGGGCCGACTATATGATACCCTTAATATCTACAATATCCTGTAAATAGAACAGACATAGAATCTTTGGAGGACCATTGAGATGGAATCGATCGAAATTAAGTGTGCTATCTAGATAGATATTTGAACCAATTGAAAAAAAAACCAATTGGGAGTTATATATAAACACATGGACCTATATAAACACATGGACCAAATCGAGCAAACATAGGCCCTTCGAGAAAAAAATATATATAAGACCTATATCGAAATCTGAACCGATTTCAACAAACCTTATCACACATCATTTTTCCCTCAATTGCATTCGCTATGCAAAATTTTGCTCAATCGGACAAATAATAGGAGTTTGGTGTATCATTCACATAAAATCGGACGAAACTATATATGGGAGCTATATCTAAATCTGAACCGATTTTTACAAAACTGTGCAGACATCCGTCTGGACCTAATTGGGAGTTTGGTGTATCATTCAGAAAAAATCGGACGAAACTATATATGGGAGCTATATCTAAATATGAACCGTTCTTCTCAAAAAAAAAAAAAAAAAAAAAAACAGCCCTTTAGAAATTAAAACTGCTTTACATGCTCACTGCTTATGGGATTAACATTGTGAACTGCAAAATGCCATACCTCTTTTTGAATAAGCCATTTATAAAAATGTACGGATCCTAACGAAGTCCATCTGTATGCTTGTTGCAATCTGGATAGACCACATAATATTTATGATAGATCTTAGGATGATTGATTAAAAAAATGAATTAGATCGATCCACATTTTTGAAAAGGTATCATATATCATAATATTTCGTTTCGTTTTGAAGATGTGTATTCCTCGATGATACAATGTTACCCTGTCCATTAGCTTTCACCTCATGACTTTCAGTAAAGCCAAGTGATTTTTACAGTTGTTTCACTTATGCGAACTATATTGGGCGCTTAACCTAAAAATGTAATGGTGTAGGAGATCTATTTTATTTTACAGTTAAGCGATTTACAGTAAATCGGAGTCGACTATAGGCCACTGTTGTATAAAAACCCCCGGCAAACAATTTACAATGTAGTTCAATGATTATCTACTTACCCCATCCGTTGAACGAATTAGGTTATTACCAATACTAAGTATAACCAATTTTTCTAGGTTATCCAGATTTTCTATTCTTACTATCTGATTGCTGAACAGAGACAATACTTCGAGATTAACCAGCTTGTCCAAATTTTCGATGCGCTCAATATAGTTGAAACTCAAGTCGAGTTCCTTTAAATTCACAAGCATGTCCAAATGTTCAATTGTTTCGATTTTATTACAATTTAAAGCTAATTTTGTCAGGTTGGGCAGCATCCATAAATGATCAATGCGAAGTATATCTGGAAAAAGAATGATACATTCTACAATATACTTCTATATATACTTTTACCATATTCCGTTACTTTTAAAATCCAATCGTAATGATGTTATGCGATCGTATACAACGGGCTCAATACGATGTAGTCTTAGTTCTTCGCCTTTATGACCCTCCTCCAAGTAGGCAGCTTCTATCATTTCCTTACTTATAATTCCAGGTTCTATTTCGGGATATACAACTACTTCCAATGGGTTGTGACTTGGGTCATGTTTTTTGTCGTTGGCATTGTCATTTTGATTCATTCTGTAATATAAAGAAAAGATCAATATGTAGGTTTTATTTATTTTTTATTTATGTTCAGTATGTCGAGGACGATGACCCTGAATATTGAATAATTCCTCGTATTTCCACATAAAATACAATGTAAAAGTTGCCCACGTTCGAAAAAAAAAAAAAATGCTGAAAAGCGATCATTAATTATACCTAAAAATAATTATCTACACGTTTGTACGGATGCTTGACGATGTTTAGGTTGAAATGTAAAGGACGTAGTAATTCCGATCTAAAATTGAAAAACTTATAACAACATATTTCTTCTTTTCTAATGACATTTGCAAAAAAAAAAAAAAACAAAATTAACGACTATCGAATACTTGTTATGTGTTTTTGAACCGGTGAAAGGTTTCCATGGATACTGTGGACAACATTCACCCCAAATTAGTTGGACATTGTGACGTTCGCTAACGGCTGCTTAGTTTAACGAATGTGTCTCTTCTATTTACCATAAAACCGGTTAAACGAGCAGGTGCATTCTTATACCCTTTAAGATTCGATAATTTGTATTAAATATTTGAGCCAGTCGGCGGAAGGGCGGACGCAAGGGTTTCGCTGATGGTCCGGCAAGTGGCACGCACGAACTCTACACAGCTTTATAGAGTTTGTTCGTTTGTTTGGAGTATTCTTTCCGTCTGTGTGGTGTTTCACGCTTAAATGACGGTGTATGTCTGCGTTAATGGTGTGCGTGTGTGTGTGAGTTTCAAAGAAATTTTGTTCTAATGGCTAGATCCGTTGAAAAAGTCTTGGCAACGTTTTTGCTGGTACTAGTAACAGTTGCCGTTGTTGTGGTATCGGTGTTTTACGTTCTTCTCCTCGAGGAAAATTGTTTTCAAGAACGAATTCATCATCATAAATTGAAAAATGTACAAATTCGAAATAAAATACATTTTTAATAAAAGCCATTGTTTAACAAAAAATATATAGATAAAAAATATTGTATTTATATTAAACGTGCACATATTTTACATACACAATTGAAATAGAACAAGCAAACGATTACAAATTCAATCAATAATTTCACCAATTATAATCCCGACGAAAAAAAATCTACAATACACACAAACATACGTATATAACGAGTGAAAAGTACAAATAAGTATTCCAAGTGGTTGTTAGTTCGGTGTGTGGCTAACCTCCTTTCAAGTGTAAGTGAAATGGTGTCGTCTTTGTCATATATTTAATTACTGTTATTTACGAATGGTGTTTTTATTTTATTTCCAAAATCAGAAACAAGGGCAGCATTAATAAGTCGAAATATAATTTGTTTTATTCCGATTAATTTTGATTTTGTATTAAATTGAAAAGATATGGCTTACCGAAATATTTGTTTCCGACACCAAGTTTCATTGGACCAAATCCGTTTTAGACAATTTGGGGCCGATTTACAAATGTCCGTCTGTTCACCCGTCACGATAACTTTCGAAGAGAGTTACTAAACCTTCCAAACATAAATCAGGATCGAAGTTTGGGAATATCGGTGTATTTCTTCTGGTATGTCCCCTACGAAAATATAGCTGAAAATTAATTTTAAGACATGAATTCAAACCGATTTGAATCAAACTTTGCAAAACCTAATATTTTTACGAATCTTGTATGCTGTTTGATGATTGAGCTTATCGGTTCCTTGCTTCTTCCTTCCTTGTAGTATCCGATAAAAATTGTATCAAATCGGAATATAAGACCCATCGGCTTTACTCTTCAGGTACCTCCCCCACAAAATGTTAAAAAAGTGGCAAATTTGTAAATCTATCCGAGTTGTCCGAGTTGATTTAAACTTTGCATATAGTACACAATTTATGAAACCTACATTAAATCCGAAGATCGGCCTATGGGACAACTTCTTGTGACATCTTTCCACAGATATTCAACTTTGTATTTATACCCTAGACAACTTTGTTGTCAGGGTGTTATAGCTTTTTGTGGCCCCAAGAATTTTTACATTAAATCCGAAGATCGGCCTATGGGACAACTTCTTGTGACATCTTCCCACAGATATTCAACTTTGTATTTATACCCTAGACAACTTTGTTGTCAGGGTGTTATAGCTTTTTGTGGCCCCAAGAATTTGTAGCACAGTATACCGATCCTCATATCTTGACTAACCGAGTCGATCTAGACGTGTGTGTCCATCCGCCTGTCCATTATAATTTGTAAACTCGATACAGTAATGGATAATCGTTACGAAATCTTGCATGTAGGTCGGCCTGTGACCAAAGAAGGCCTCTTTTTGGTAATGATCGGTTAATATTTAGGACATAAAGTGGCTCAAAAACTTTATTTTTGTCTGTTTTTCTGGCCGCTCCAGAGTCTATAATTATGACACGAACACCACGATATTTTACACGAGAAAAGGAATCAAGAGCATACATAACTATTTTGATGAAAATGACCTACCGATTTAGTTAGTTAGTTTTGGTTAGTTTACATATTGTCGGAATCGGATTCGATTTAGATATATTTACCTCCTTTTGAATGTTGTTGAAATCTTTTCCGTTTTGTATATATCTCCCAAATTGAGCAATTTTGTGTAAATCGGTTGAGATGTAAACATAGCTGCCCTATATTTTCATGCAAATTGTTCACCAAATACCCAAGACATGTGCGATTGACATGAAATTTTACATATCGCGATGATGAGTATCGGCTCATATTTAAATAAAGATTCTATAGTATAGTATCGTTGGGTTTAATGTAAATGACGAACAAAAAACTTTCCGTGTGTTAAATTTTATTTAAATTTATAAATATTGCACTCATATATATATATATATATATATATACTAGCGGGCCCGGCAAACGTTGTCTTGCCTAGCAATTTTGTTGGTGTATAATGTTCGGCATTTAAGATTTGTTTTTTTTAACCTTATGGTGTAGGTTAAAAAAAAATGTACAGTGTACAGCTCAGAGCACGCATAAAGTAACTTTAAAGTAGTAAATATCTACAACTTTATGTTTATGAGCGAGTCTTGCTGCCATTTTTGAAAAAAATTAAATTCAATAAATTTAAATGCACATATAAGTTTGACTTTAGGATTTCATTCATTACCCTTCCCAATATATTAATATTGGCCCATGTTTCGGGATTCCGCCCATGGTAGCCCTCAATATTAGGTATTTTGAAGATCTTAAACACAATCTTTAACAGAATTCTTCTAATTTAATATAAGCAATACTTATTGAGCAGAAAATATCGCTACTTGAAATTATCAATATTGGTCCAAGTATCTGTATCTGGCTGTAATTTTATATTTTGGATGATCATCGAGTAGAAAATGTTCGAAGCAAAATTTGCCCAAGCTTTCAAGAAGCCTCCTTCGGGGATTTAGGCACGTTTTCAACCTAATCAGCTGTAGTTGGTTGTTTTATTTGGTAGCAGGAATCCTACTAAAAATTATTAATATTGGTCCATCTTTGTGGGGTTGCACATAACAGTACCTACAATATTCAGTATTTTGGGAGTTTGGTCACTTATTTCAACCAAATAGGCTGTAATTTTATATTTTAGATGATCATTGAATACAAAATCTCCTTACAAAAAATTATAAATATTTGCCCAAGTTTCCGGGTACGAAAAACGAATATATCTTCATTCCCATTGTAGTAGCTGTAATATGTCTTTGCGGTATATTGGGGATTAAGACACATTTTTGCGAAAAATTCTCTATTTATGTCCAAGTTTTGATAAGTTTCTAATTGAGCTTACTGATACACATTTTTGGTATCGGATATATGCGAGGTGTTCTGTTTATAAGTTCAAAGATATTAACAAACGATTAGACATATAACCACAATATAATTATAAAATTTAATTATAAAATTTTCAATTCTTGTTTGTATTCTCACACAAAAAAAAATTTAATACAATGTCAATAGAATTGAAAAAATTAAATATTTTGAAAAATTTCAATAATTGGCAAATGTAGGATTAAAGGAATGATACGCTAGTAATTTTCGCCGAAAATATTTCAAAATAACAACTACGATGTGGTGCTACCAAAATACCTTGATACTTAATTCGTGGAAATGCAAATACGCTTCATAATATTTTTTTTGCAAATTTTTCGTGGTTTTCGATTTTTTCTCACCTTTTAAACCTTCCCCGAAGCTCCACGAACATTTCAAGACTAAGATAAGAAATATCCAATCAGCCGTTCTCGAGTTTTAGCGAGACTAACAAACATCAATTCATTTTTCAAGGCAATGACAATCCAATTAATTGTAGAAAATTAACATACATACATATGTATGTATGTACATATTTTGAGAATTTTCCATAATTGACAATTTCTTAAAGATATACGCTGCTCATTTTCGCCCAAAAAGAACTTCGAAGAGATGAAACCATGTGGAAATACTAATATATTTTAAAATATATTTTGCAACATTTTCGCGGATTTTTCTCAAAATGTTCTTTCACTAAAATCTTTCCACTTCAATTACTGACTGCTAACAGAAACTTTAAGTCAAATCGGTCCAGCCGTTTCTTTAAAATAATAACCTTCCCACTATAATTACCGACAACTTCAAGAAATTTTGAGTCAAATCGGTCCAGCCGTTCTCAATTGATGCGTTAGTATACATTTTTCTTGCTCCATTTTTATATATATAGATATAAGATATATATGCGGGTACAATAGATGACGACCGGTATACTAAAATATAGTTCTAGGACCTATATTTCGTGACGTTATAAACTTTTGGGACCACACAAACTTGTAATACCTTTACAAAATAGTTGTGTAGGGTATAAATATTAACAAATGTTTTAAAACAAAATTCATTATAGAACCATGGATAATGACCTTCATTGGTTTTATTTATGAATAGTTGAACTGTTTCATATTTGAAGGGCACGACATTAGCCAGCATTGTTAATTATGTGATACATTTTTGGGCCATTGTACCATTCGGTAATGTATGTATGTACGTTTACACAGAAGGCTAAACTACACATACATATGCCAAG